GAAAATAGATACCCTGTTCCAGAGAGGAGAGAGCATGATTTCATATACAGTACCCTGTCCCAGAGTGAGCGCAATTTTATATACCCTGTTCCAGAGTAAAATCACTAAAAACCATACCCTGTTTGGTGGCACGTACCCGTATAGCGAATATAGGGGAGTACCACTCCCCTGGGCTTCTAATGTTGGTTATAGTATTGATGAAGTACTGTAGCGTGGAGGGACGGGACTACCATTTTGAGGAATCATCTAAGCCGTTAGAAGTAGATGTAATATTACATGTAATTGAACAAATTATTTTATTTTCTATTAAGTTATTTTAAAACCTTTGATTTGGCAGACACATGCTTTTATCGATGAAGCCAGGGTGGCCGTTTACATTTTCTCAGCCCGAACAAAAAAAATAAGTGTGTTTTCTCTTGTTGATAGACCAGCCCCAATTTTCTTGCCAGTTTTTGCCGACTCTAATATTTCTTTATTCCCAAATGCACCACAGGGTTCCCAGTAAGCTCATTTCCACTGTTGTATCAGTAAAAAATAAAAATAAAATAAAATAAAAATCCGACCTACTTACCTCAATTATTATTCTCATGCAACAGGAAACACACTTATTTTTTTGTTTGGCTTCATCATTAAGTTAGGTCCACAAAATCATTTTTACCTTTTTTTCTTTCCTTATCCTCCTTACTTCTTCATTTTCTCCTGTTCACTGTCTTGACTTCCATACCATTACTAGCTCAAGCCAGGCTACTTTTTTCTTTTTAAAGTTCTTTTTTTCTATTAGTCTAAATATTTCCAGAGTATGTTCAGTGGTCAATGGAAAGAATCCATGGAAGATTTCATCAGCATTCAAATCCCAGATGAGATTATTACTGTTGAAGGTAAAAAAATAGTACATTGTTAAAAATAAAATAAAGATTGGTGGGGGATTTGTTGTTTTGTCTTGTCTTCCAACAGATTATGGCAGATTACTACTTTCGTTGATTAATGTTTTTGATACTGATAGGCCTTGCACGTGGAGCCTCTATCATATAACTGTGGTTGACATCGTCAGCATTAAATCTTTTTTTTCTTTCCTTCGCCTAAGTCTTTTTACTTGTTTATCGTTTTAGCGGGGAGGTGCCTTGCATGGGACTCTATGTCCTGTGTCGCACCCACCCTATAATAATAATAATAATAATAATAATAATAATAATAATAATAATAATAACAACTTTATTTCAAGAGGGTAAAACACATAAACTACGGTGTATAATTTACCTTTTTATCATTA